GACTCGTCGAACGTGACGTCCTGGGAGGACAGAACACGACGAGAGGAGGGGTGGTAAAACTGCCACCCTGGGGCGTCAGTGGGGAAGCCAAGGAAGACACAGGGAGCAGCACGAGGGGACAGCTTGTCCGCAGACAAGTCGCGGACAAACGCCCGAGATCCCCAGACACGGAACACAGACGCATCGCCAACCTTCCCCGTCCACAGCAAGGCTGGGGACATCGCAGGCCGAGAGACCCGGGGGTGAAGGTTGAGCTGATGCGCCGCGTACCTCACCGCAAACGACCACAGAAAATGGGGGGCAGCCGCATGCATCATGGACGTACGAGCGACATCCATGACCATGCCAATGCGGCGCTCAGCAATCCCATTTTGCTGTGGTGAGTCCGGAAGCGTGAAGGTCTGGCGGATCCCCCGTGCACGACAGTAGTCTCGCAGAAGGCGAGAAGAGAACTCTCCGCCTCTGTCAGAGTGCAGACGCAGAACAGGAAAGTCCGAGCCAAAGCTCTTCCTGAGCTGGAGACGAGCCTCGCGGATCCAGTCGATCAGCACCTCAGTGACCGCACCCTTGCTGCGCAAGGGGAGGACTGTGGTGTAACGCGAGTAGTCGTCAACCACCAACAGGAAGTAGCGCTCGTAACCCTGCCCACGGACGGGGGCTGGGCCCCACACATCCATGTGAAGCGTCTGCAGGGGAGCCTCTGTCGGGGGGAAGTGGGAGGAGTGAGGAGTAGCCCGGAGGCGACCCTCGACACAGGGGACACAGGAAGGTCCTGGCCCGGAGGGGAGAGGAGGGAGAGACTGGGGAAGACCAGAGACAAGGACACGGGAAGCCATGCTCCGAAGACGGGGCAAGGAGGGGTGGCCAAGACGGTGGTGCCACAGGAGAGTCTCGTGAGACAGGAGGCGACAAGAACAGGGGGCAGACTTAGGACCGGACCGGGACGCAGCAGCAAGTACCTGACCCGACGCAGCCACCTGACCAGACTCAGGGACAAGAGGAGACTCAACGGTCAGGGTGTAGAGACTCGACCCCGGCCGACGTGAGAACGTGGCCAGGTGTCGGCCTGTGCGAGCCTCCGTGCAGTGGGTCACCCTCTGACGCGCAGGAGTGAACTGGTGAACACCCCCATCCTGCAGGTCCGCTCCACTCACCAAGTTCGTAGAGAACGAGGGAAGGTACAGACCCGACAGGGTGCCCGAAGGGGCAGCCGGACACGGGAGGACAGTGGAGAAGTGAGACAGGACAGGACCCCCAGAGGGGTCAGCAAGGGAGACCGCAACCGGCCTGGCGAGCGGCGAAAGGGTAGTGCGGTCTCGAAAGAAGGAGCGAGAAGCTCCGGAGTCAAGTGTGAAAGTGAGGGAGGACGAGGACGACTCAGTACCTGAGAGCGCAGTCTCACCTGTACCTGAGAGCGCAGACGCACTGGCACCTAGAGCAGCAGCCTCACAAGCACCTAGCGCAGCAGTACCAATGCCCGGGTCGGGCTGAAAACACCGGTAACCCTCATTCTCCTCACTATAATCCACAACATACATAGCAGTAAGGATAGCATCAAAATCAAGATCAAAGATCGCTACACCAGCCCTGAGAAGCTCATCTCAGCGAGGGATCTTACTAGCCCCAGGGAACTGCTGACGCCAAGCGTCCGTCAGGCGGCCAAAGCAGCGCTGGGTGGCGTGGGCACCCCCACACTGCTCACCCGCGCGGTCGCCGGAACGAAGAACGTAGGTGCAGGGACCAGTACCCCCACCCCTCTGACGCCCAGCGTACCACTCACGAAGCTGCTGAGGCGAAGGGATGTCCCGCGAGCGCTGCTGCTGCTGCCGGTGCGAGCGCTGGCCACCACCACCGCCGCTACGCTGCTGGGTACCACCCCGACCAGCTCCACCTCCTCCACCACTACTGCCCCCTCCGCTGCCGCCTCCACTGCCTCCACCTCCGCCGCCTCCACCTCCGCCGCTGCCTCCACCACCACCGCTGGCACCACCACCACCGTCTCCGCCGCCGCTGCCGCCACCACCACCACCACCCCCGCCACTAGCCCCGCCGCCACCCCCACTCCCTCCGCCGCCACCGCCGCCACCGCCACCGCCCCCTCCAGCTCCACCCGCGCCCTTGCCCCCCTTGCCCTTGCTGGAGCGACGTCTCCCACTAGGGGCAGACGCCGCGCCGACCGACTCAAGACCAAGCAGGTCGGCAGCAGCAGCAGAGGCAACAGAGGGCAGCAAGGGGGAAGGAGAGCACCCCTCAAAGATGGGGGTGCGAGGGTCACCACGAGAAGCACCTACAGCGACTATGCTCTTCTCCGCTGCAAGGAGGGCCTTCTCGAGGAGGTCGACGGTGAGAGTGGTGGGACAGACTGCGAGAAAGTGGTCCCTGACGACGCGAAGGGAGTCAGGGAGGCGTGCGACTACGTAGTAGAGAGCGATGTACATGGGGGGGGGGTTCGTAGCGCAGAACTCAGCAGGAAGGGCGGCGCGGTAGCGAGTGTCACTAGTGCGGAGGTGCGTAATGAGGTCAGCGACAGTGGGAAAGGCAGAGAGGTCAGGAAAGAGGTAGGGAAGCATGAGACGGCTCAGTGCAGCAGTGGCAGGGGAGGAGTAGCGCGCAACTACAGCGTCGTACAAGGTCTGAGCACTCTTGTACTGACCAAAGTGCGCACGCTCAGAGGTAGGGAGGTGGCGACGCACAGCAAGACGTGCAGCAGCATCGCGGGTGGCCCACTTAGAGCGGACAGCGGGATCAGCATCAGCAGCAGGGGCAGGAGAGGCGCCAGAGGTGAGGTCAAAGAGAGAAAGGTCGTCAGCCCTGTCGCACTGTAAGAACAGCTGCAGGTCGTCTAACCAGACCTCAAAATCAATGGCGCGACCCTCAGCGTCAAAAGCTAGGACACTAGGGGTAGCCATGACGACGACTGTGAAGCAGTGCAAGCAGTAGGGGGGAGAGCATGCAGTGACAGTGGGACTGTGCTCACCAGGCAGGGCAGGTCGCGCAGCTCGACAGAAAAGCAGAACGGCGACCGGGCGGCTCAGGTGTACAGCGGCTCGGCTCCCGGGCGGCTCGGCGGCAGGGCGGCTCGGGTGCAGGGCGGCTCGGATGCAGGGCGGCTCGGGTGCAGGGCGGCTCGGCTCCCGGGCGGCTCGGCTGCAGGGCTGCTCGGGTCCCGGGCGGCTCGGCTGCAGGGCGGCTCGGGTCCCGGGCGGCTCGGTGACAGGCGGCTCGGGTCGCGTAGGAGTGAGACGGGGCGGGGCCGCGTCAGGGCCGGCGGTAGGGCCGCGTAGGAGCCGGGGCAGGGCCGCGTAGGAGCCGGGGCGGGGCTGTGATAGGAGCCGGGGCAGGGCCGTGTAGGAGGCCGGCGGTGTGGCCGCGTAAGGGCCGCGTAAGGGCCGCGTAAGGGGCCGGTGCGGGGCCGCGTAAGGGCCGCGTAGGAGCCGGCGCGGAGCCGCGTAGTGGCCGGGGACGGGGCCACGAAAGGGCCGGGGCTGGGCCGCATACGGAGCCGGCGAGGGGCCGCGTAGGAGCCGGCGGCGTGGCCTCGTAAGGGCCGCGTAAGGGCAGCGTAAGGGGCCGGCGCGTAAGGGCCGCGTAAGGGCCGGGGCGGGGCCGCGTAAGGGCCGCGTAAGGGCCGCGTAAGGGGCTGGCGTGGGGCCGCGTAAGGGCCGCGTAAGGGCCGGGGCGGGGCCGCGTAAGGAGCAGGCGGCGGGGCCGCGTAAGGAGCAGGGCGGGGCCGCGACAGAGTGGGCGGCGAGGCCGCAGAGGAGAGAGCGACTCGAGGGGTCGCTAAAAAAAAAAAATTCGCGCCTCGGGGGCGCGCTTCGGTGGGCCCAAAAATTTCGGTCCTGGAGGGACCTAGCTCTATACCATGTGAAAAGAGTAAGCAGGAATGAATGAACTATGAATGAAAGCAGTACAAATATGAAACCCTAACTGGGTTGTACCCCCTATGGGATGCCCCACTACAGCCTACACAGCAGTATAAGCTATAGATATGTTCTGACACGCATTGCCACCACCATCGCCCTGCTGCACATCGCTCAAGAGCCGCCCTCTGCGCAAAAAATGCCTTCCCGAAGAGCGGTGAGATCCAAAATTTGATATTGGCCCAACGAGGACTCTTGGAGGAGTGCCAAATAGAACACGGATCTATTCTAAATCCCCGCGTTCCGTAACGTGCAACTTGCACCCAAATAGAAACAGCAACGCATACTACGGCACGCTACGCCATCCTTTGCTGCGGACTGCCACATGAAGATCCGTGCATGGACACGTGGACTCGAGCATATAGTCATCCAATCGCGAATGGCATCCCATCAGCACGCTATCGCAGAGAGGCTTCCCCGTTCAGACATTCACCCTTCGTTTCACTCAATTCGACCGCCGGAGGTCATGCTCTGATGACGCGCAATCCCGTTGCTCAATCCGCCACTAGGGCAAAACACATACACGCATCGACTAGATCATGAGCAAACGGCTTTCCAATGGTGTTGCGACACGTATTGCCTGCATCCCGATCTCGCACGGCCCCATCGACCTCTCTTCGCTCCCTCCGACTTCAGCTCGCCTCACCCGTCGATCGCCTGCATCCCGACCTCGATCGCGCATGGCGGCCAATAACTAAACGGCGAGTTCTGGGAGCGCGTGGCGGCATCGCCGTTTACAGCTGAAGCGCGATTGTGGGATACGTGGACAGCGACACCCATGCTTGGTGGCGCACATCTAGCTGTTGGCGAATAAGGGCTAGGTACTAAATCGGGAATGATTTTGTGTAGGACATAGGTAGCTCCATCGGTAATATTGGTTATCGAGCAGGTGTTTTTTAATATATTAGCACCCCGTCCAGAGACTGCATTGCTTTCAAGACTCCACAAAGGTAGTCGCAGTTACCACACTGTTGTAGAAGCGCCATATATCGTTTTTTATGACGAGATGTGCAAAATCCAGGTTACTGCCTTTATGGGCACCCGGATGTTTCGTACAACAAAATGAACGAGGTGGGTATGGTAGCCCAGAATGACCCCAACGAGCAAGAGTGCGAATGGTGACATTCTGATGGAGTACTGAACACGCTCTTCTGCTCAAAACCACCTTCGCTTCACAGAAGCGCTGAGCACCACTAGTATTCCTCTGCACTTTCCTCACGATATCTTGCTCGTTTCACCTCTGCCCTAGCTTCTAGAACCTCAAGCCCTTTTCTCGAGTGAGATAACAACTGAGATTATTATATCGTTGCGTGCCGGCGCCTATTGCGGAGCTCAGATCCAACTGTGTGCGCGAGTCTCTCAGCACGTCGCTTCTACTATCTTCGAAACCCTAACAACAGGCCTGAGGTAACGCCGGTCCCGTCCCGTCACTCCATTCATTTCGGCTCGCGCACCATCCCTACCCGCATTCTATCATGCTTCTCCTTACCTGATGATTTTAACTAATCATTCATAAAGGCTGAGAAACAATGATTGTGTGACCATTCATGCTCTTATTGGGGCAAAATAACGTTATTCGCGTACACAGTCAGGCTGCATTGCCAAGACACAGTGACTATGCGGCCTCGCAGTTGTTGCAAGTTTCGCCATCACACATCCCTGCCTTTTCTATGTCCTCGTTTAAATCCCCGCCGTTACATCCGTGGGAATCGGCAATTTAGCCCACCGCTTTCCGCGGATTGGCAATGTTGACCGTCAATCTGCGCAGATTGGCGCATTCCGACCGTCGATCCGCGCGGATCGGTGGTTTATTTCCGAAAACTCGCGCAGATCGGCTATTTTGGTGGCCATTGTGGGAGTGGGATGTGCATATCTTCCTCCACTCCTCACCTGACCTCACTCAGCTTGCATCTCCGTCATCCTCTTCCATCACCCTGCTCTGCTCTCTCGCCTCACAATACTCGCCTGTTCACCAATTCATGCAGGCTCCACCCGACGTCATCCGTTCGCATTTTTCCACCCCTTGTTTCATCATCTATCCTCGTTGCATCTTAGCTGCAGCTTCAACCTGACTGGCGTTTTTTTTTGCCTTGCTACACAAGTTACCCTACTACAAATGTGCAGCGAGTATTACTCGCGTTGAGTACTTGCCCTGTCCCACTCGTCTCCCTGCCTCCCTTCCCTCGCACCACTTTCAGAATCGCCAAGCCCCGCCATCGGATTGACCGACTCCACGCTGCAGCTGCTGTTTCATTTCACTCCACGCCACCACGAAAACACGACAGTTAAAAAAAAACCTAAATAAAGGTAAGTATTTGGACTAGTGAATACATCAGCTTCTCCACTGTCTTCCCAGTCTCTCTCTTCCTCTGCAAGGCTACGGTGGTGCTCATACATGTATCATAGCCCCAATATGTAACTTTGTTAGTGGATGGCCTTACGAATCTAGAACAACGCCAAGGCACATCGTCGCCCCTCGACGCATTGTTGGCCTGCTTGGCCCTTCCCGTGCTGCTTTCTCTTCTCCTTGGCACATTCACAATGCTGTCACATACCTAAGCTCTCTCTCACTGAGTAAGGGTTTGACTTACCTATCCTGTGACTGACGTAGCCTGAGAGGAGAATGAGGAATTATCAGGTAAAAAGGGGCGAAATCTGATTTGGGTAAATGGTGCACTGGTTTCCGACCAGCCCCGTCGTCTCTCAAGCCAACCACCAACAGCTAGCTTGCTGAGATGGGGTTGGCCCGGCGGCCCCCCGCACTTGCATCTGTTACAATCAAAACTCGAAATACTTCAAAATCAGCTGTCTTCTTTCTCTCACCCTACGATTGTCTTGTCCGAAACCACCTTCTCTCACCACCATTGTATCTAGCACCGTCTTGCTGCTCGGCCCATTCAGCTCACTCCGTTTGATTGATGCTACCCCCCCTGCGTATCAGCCCCCTCTATGTACCCCTCCAACCTGGTCCGCCTTCTCTGGTTCCTATCGCGTTTCGTTTGTTGTTGTGCTTCTTCTTGAGTCTTTTAGCGAATCTCTGCCTGTCTCTGCTTTCTCCTCCTATGTTTGGCCTGGATTCCGCGAAGCGCTTCTACGTGAACACCCTATGCACTCTCCAGCTCACCACCCTTCATCGACTGCATTTGTTCCTGCCTTGCTGCAATATCTGCAGTGCCCCTTTTCAACAGCCCCTGTTTCCACGTTTGTCATCAAGTCTCCCTCTTTCTCTGTTCCATGTCTGCTCACTTTCTCCCATCACTGCCTCTTTCCTCAATCCCGTGTAATTGGTCTTGTTCGTGTGCTGACCACGCCCCCTCTCCCTCTGTTCTTTTTACCTTTCTCCTTTTCCCTGCACCTCCCTCCCCCTCTCCTCCTCCCGTGCAAACTCCTCTGTCCCTTCTATAGATGGAAAGCCATCGTCGTGCAATAACCGTTGCTCGCAGCGGAAGACTCCGCCTTGCATCTCTTCGCGAACACTTCTCACCTTCGCTAGCTGCACCTCTCGCATCGTCGCACGCCACCGATTCATCGCGCCCTAACATTTTCGCAGATACGCCTCCGCGCCGTCATTCCAGCGCGTTTCATCCTCCCCCACCTTCATCGTTCCTCAGCGCGTCTCACCGTAACCATCCCTGCGATTTATGTTGTCACCGTAACCCCGCACTAATCCGATTAGTCGCCACTCGTTCGTCACCGCAGCCTGTGTCTCCTAGGATCTGTCATCATCATTACCACAACAGTTGCACGCTGCTTGTTCATGGATGCGGGCTCTCCGCTTCGTCTGCTCTGCTTTCCCGGCTTCTTCACTCTTCTCGAGCCGTCGCGGCCGTTGGATCGGAGCCGCCGGTTGCCGGGGAGAGATCTGGACCGTCAGGCGAGAGAGCGGCTGGCGGGGAGGAGAGTGTGGGGGATTTGCGTGTGAGCTATGGCGCGACGGAAGCAGAGGGGGAGGAGGCGGAAAGAAGAGGGAATTTCAATGATGCAAGGGAGGAGGGACGGGGAAGGGTTTGGGATGAGGTTCAAGAAGAGGATCGGAATGTTGAGGCGCGGGGATGGGTGGATTTAGCGGACGGGGAGAAGCAGGAAATGCAGACGAGACAGCGATCGATTCGGGTGCGGGAGGAGGCAGGCGGCGAGGCGGCGGTAGGGGGAGGGACGGCGGAAGAAGGACGATCAAGAGAGGAAAGCCTTGGCAACACCGAGCAGGGTAGTCGTACCAATGAGGCTGTAATTACCGCGGAGGGCGTTAGTAACGCGGAGGCCAATAACGAGGACGACGGTGACGACATGAGCGGGTACGGCGTGGCGTCGGAGGAGGATCTGCGCAACGCAAAGCAGATCGCGGACGCGATTCTCAGCGGGCGGTTCTTCGCGGGGATGAGCCGCGGGAAACAGCACTGGGCGGGGGACGACGTGGGGGAGAGCGGGAACGCTGGAGGAGAGGATGGGGGAGTGAGGGAACGCGGGAGGAGAGGGAAGGAGAGGCGCGGGGAAGGGCGCGGGGAGGTGGGGGGAGACGGCGAGGAGGAAGAGGAGTGGCGGAGGAGTTTCCGCGAGAGGGGGTGGCGGCCGGGGTTCAGGGGTTTAGGGGACTGGTTGGGGGAGGCGGGCGGGGGACAGGCGGAGGCGGAGGGGCAGGTGGCGGTGGAGAAGCAGCGGTTTGCGCGCGTGGCGCTGGTGGGCGCGCCCAACGCAGGGAAGTCCGCCCTGATGAACAGACTGGTGGGGGGAAATGAGAGAGAGAGAGAGAGAGAGAGAGAGAGAGAGAGAGAGAGAGAGAGAGAGAGAGAGAGAGAGAGAGAGAGATAGAGAGAGAGGGGTTAGAGTGGGAGGGAAGGGGTGAGGAGGGAGGGTGAGCAAGAGGAAAGAGTGAGAGAGGGTGGAAGTGGGGGGAATGGGTGAGGGACTTTGATTGTAAGGCCGGAAGAGCAGAAGCGATAGGGGAAGCGTTTAACCGGAGTAAGGTTGGGGAGGGGGGTAAGAAAGAGCAGATGCGGGGTTTAGTTAGTTGCGAGTTTTGGCACGCTACATTGCACTCCTTCTTTGCTGTCTCAACCCCTCCCCGGTTCCTTCCTTCACATTTGGGATCTCCCTCTCATCCACTTGTCCCTTCTTCCCACTCCCTCTTCTGTCACATCTGCCTCCCTCCTTTCCCCTCCTTTCACTCACCTCCTTTCCCCTCCCCGCCCTGCCTTCTCCTCACCTGTTTGCCGTGCGTGCAGGTGGGCGTGAAGGTATCAGCGGTATCGCGTAAGACCAACACGACGCAAAGGGAGGTGGTGGGCATCCGCACCATCGGGCCCACGCAGCTGGTGAGCTTCGAGTTTTCACACGCCTTAACACTGTTGGTGAGCAGAGCGCACGCCCCACACAGCTGGTGAGCTTTGACGGTTGATGCGCCTGACGGTGAAAAACTGGTGAGCGCAACCCACTTAGGGGTCCCTCCTCTTCAGCCTCCTCCCTTCCTTCCCCCGCTAACCCCCTCCCTTTCCCCTTCTTCCCGACCTCTAGGTGTTTCACGATACGCCAGGGCTGATAGTGGCGCTACCATCGCAGCCACTGTCAGCGTCGCAGCGCCAGGGGTCGCTGCTCGCCTCGTCCGCTGCCTTGCATTGCCATGTGGTGGCGCTCGTCATTGATGCCGACCGGCAGATCCGGAGGTACGAGGGTGCTTGTGGTGGTAGTGTGTGGTGAGAAGGGCTGTAGCTGAAGCATTGGCCGTGGGGCTTTGTTTGTCTGTCATCCCCCTGTCTCGGTTGCTCTTGTTCTCCCCTTGTTCCTCACTCACAGTCCTTCCCTCTCGTCCAGGACCAAGACTTCCCCCACCTGCTCCTGGAAAAGAGAGGGTACCACCTTATCCCAGAATGTTCCCTCTCTCTCTCCACCCCATCTCAATCCAAACCAATCATCCCACTAATTCACTCCATCTCACAAACCCATCTCATACAACCCCATCCCTTCCCACCGCACTCCACCCCTGCAGGCCGGACCCGCGGGTGCGGAGGATGGTGGGGGTGGTGGGGGCGGAGCGGAGGGAGGGGCAGCAGCGCGTAGCGGTGCTGAACAAGGTGGATCTGGTGAAGGACAAGCGCCTGCTGCTACCGCTCGCACAGGAGCTCAGCTCCTTCCACTCCATTGAGAGGTGGGGGGAGTGGAGGGGAGAGGTGGGAGGGGATTGGGTGGGGTGGGGGAGCTGGGTGCATGGGGGGAGGTGGTGGAGTGGGGGAATGGGGGGTTGAGGGTGGTGTAGGAGTGGCCGTTTGAGATGTATGAGGGTCCAAGGTTGACGGTCCAGGCTGAGTGCATAGCAGTGCTGAACCACCCTGTATTCGATTCTGGTAGATTCTAGCACTGCCTTCACCATGCTTACGCCCTGGGTACTCTCAGCCCCATACTGCCGTCCATGCCCTCACCCATCGTCACCCCACCCCACCCCACCCCACCCCGCCCCTGCGTGCAGGGTGTTCATGGTATCAGCGCTGCAGGACAAGGGCGTGAACCTGCTGGAGGAGTATCTTTTTGACCATGTGCGTGCTTCTCAAGAATTCTCAAAAAGCATGCCCTGCCCTCACCTCTCACATGCCATGCTACTATGCCATAAAGTCGGGCCATGCCTTGGGTTGGAGCTTATGCCATGAGGCTAATTGTCCACTCTCCCTTCCACCTCTCGTTGTTGTTTTCTCGTTTGCACCCGATGTCTACTCGTGTTACGTGCAAAAGCATCCCCTCCTGTTTTTGAGACTTCTCAAAAGTGGCACCACGTTAAGTCACGCCCCCTTCCATCTTGCATCCGTCATGTTGTTCCAATATGTGCCATCTCGCTTTCTCTCTCCCTCCCTCCCACACACCCCGGTCAATACCCATCCTCCTGTCACACACACACCAGGCGGTGCAGGCGGCATGGGAGGAGGACCCTCGTCTGCGCACGGACCAGTCGCCTGAGCAGCTGGCCATGCAGATCGTGCGCGAGCTGCTGCTGCACCGCATGCACCAGGTGGGCTGGGCTGTGCGTGGCTTGCTTGCTCACTCGCTTGCTCATTACAGGCTGTGGAGCGTATGTGAGGTGGGTGTATGCACAGCTGGCCATGCAGATCGTGAGGGAACTGCTGCTGCACCACATGCACCAGGTGGGTGGCTTGCTTGCTTGCTCGCTCGTTACACACAGTGGGGTGTGTGTGAGGCATCTCATCGCCTGAGACGTCCCCAAGCACTCCTTATCTACCCTTGCTCTCCATGCTCTCCTCTCTCTCTCTCTCTCTCTCTCTCTCTCTCTCTCTCTCTCTCTCTCTCTCTCTCTCTCTCTCTCTCTCTCTCTCTCTCCCTCTCTCTCTCTCTCTTCCTCCTTCTTCCCTCCCTCTCTCATCCCCACAGGAGGTGCCATACGCCATAGAGCACCGCCACGAGTCGTGCTCTGTGCTCAGGGATGGGTCGCTGCGCATAGAGCAGCTGCTGCTCGTGCAGTCCAATGCACAGAGAGCCATGCTCGTTGGCAAGGCAGGACAGGTCGTGCGGTGAGTCCTGCTGTGTTATGGTGTGGTCGTGCTCTGTGCTCAGGGACGGGTCTGCGCATAGAGCAGCTAAGCTGCTGCTTGTGCAGTCTAATGCACAGAGGGCCATGCTCGTTGGCAAGGCAGGTCAGGACGTGCGGTAAGTCCCACTCTTGTGAGGTGTGGTGTAGGCATGATGTGGTGTGTTCATTCATGCTATCGTTGTATGTGAGATTTCAGCTTCGTTGGTGTAGCTTGTCCGTCTATCTTGCCTTGTGCTGCATTTTTGTGTGTGCGTTTGATCTGCTGCTCTTTCCTGTTGTGTTGGTGATTCAGTTCCATTGGCAGAGAGGCACGGTATCAGCTTCAGAACATCCTTGGCGGTCCAGTTCATCTCATTTTGCAAGTGAGAGTGGACCGCAATTAGTTGAATTAGGCACCGTAATCAGGATGGCACGGTCTCATGTGAAGAGATTAGCTGAATAAGGCACCACAATTAGCTGTAACAGGCGAATTTTCCCCGTTTCGCCAAGAGGCGCCATTTTCAGCTCGCTCTTATGAATGTACCGTGGATTGAAATTGACAGGTTACCTTTGTTCTTTATTGTGTTGGAACAAATTATGGATATAACTTCTTCAAAACTCCGTTATAACTCTGAATTTCTGAAACATTCTAAACCTGTTCTTTGAAGCAGCTGGAGCCGGGCCATCAACCAATCATCCCACCACTGCATTCGTTTTCTTCCAAGACAAAATCCATGGCACCAGCAAATCCGCGTTCGATACTTCCATATCGTTCAACCAAGATCCAGCTTTCCGGTAATTACCGTACTCTGGTCCGTGACTTCTCGTCACGTCACACACCGTCATTGCCTGTCGTCGTTCTCCTTCCATCTCCAGGAGCGACTACCCTCGTTGATTTTACGTGTGTTCTCACCGTGCAACGAGCCATGGCCGACGCCAGTCCCCAGTCGACATTTCAGCTTGGCGGGATCACCGCTGACATGCTAGCCGAGTATAATGGCTCCGACTCCAAGCCCATTCTCGTGTCGCTGAAGCACGTGATATACGACGTCACGTCAGCGAGCTCGTTCTACGGTCCCCGATGGTCCGTACTCGATATTCGTAGGCAAGGATGCGAGCCGGTCGCTCGCGACCATGACCATGGATGACGTCGGCGTGTTGCTGGAGGTGTTGACCGAGAAGCAGCTCAAGACGCTCGATGATTGGGTGGAGACATTCACACGGAAGTACCCTGTTGTACGAACGTTGGTTTGAGCGTGCATACCTCTCAAACAGTGAACGCAACGGAATGGTTGGAATAGAAACGAATGGGGTACAAATAAGCAACCCTAGAAGCTGTACCCCCTAGAGTGCACCTCACTACAGCCTATCACATCAATGTGCAACATTTGACACACCCCCATAGGCTAAGTGAGGGGCATCAAAGCAAGCAAGGTGAACAAACGGTCACAAGACCAGTCAAAGCAAGAACCAAGGCAAGCTCAGGGTGGATCTCAAGGACACCACACAAATTCCGAGCGCAAGCAAGCGGCCACAAGGCCAGTTCAAGAGTTCACTAGGATATAAATACAAAGCACAACGAGCAGAGCAAGCAGCAGGACTACAGCAACCGAGGGCCTACCTCAACAAGCCCCAACTGCATACAGAACCTGTGGTGGTCACCAAGAGCCAAGGCCTTGGTGAAGACGTCTGCAGTGTTGGCCTCTAAGGCCACAAAGTCCAGGCGTGCCTGACAGCGTCGCTGCAGCTCTCGCAGGAGGAAGTACCTCACGTCAATATGCTTCACTCTGCTCTCCAGTCGAGGCTCTCGACACAGGAGGATCATGGCCTTGTTGTCAGCGTACAAGGTCGGTGCAGAGAGAGGCCGCTCACCAAGGTCTGCGAGCAAGAAGGTCAACCAGCGAAGCTCCTGTGCCGCCATGGCACCCGCGTAGATCTCTGCCTCTGCACTGGAAGTAGCCACAGACGACGACCGTGTAGACCTCCACGACACAGCACCAGCTCCCAGACTGAAGCAGTAACCCTGAGTCGAGCGCTGAGTCTCTACGTCGTCAGCGTAGGAAGAGTCATAGTGACCAGTCAACACCACTGGCTGAGTTCCTCCAAGCACAAACCCCATACCTGATGTAGTCGCCAGGTACTTCGCCACCCTCACAGCAGCTGTCCAATGGACAGGGCGGTGTCTCCCAGTCGCAACAAAGCGAGAAAGGATGCTGGGGGGAAAGGCGAGGTCTGGTCGAGTACAAGTCATCAGGTACATGAGGCAGCCCACCAGCTCTGCGTAGGGTCCACTGGACTCAAAGGGCTTGTCAGGAAAGGGGCCCGTGAGTCCGTGGTCAAAAGCAAGAGGAGTGGGCTGTGTGGTGGAGAACTGGAAGTCGAACCGCCGAATGACCTGCTGCACCATGTGTGACTGCGTCAGTGTGATGGTGCGAGCGGCTCTGTCCCGGGTGATCTGCAAGCCAAGGTAACGCTGCAGCTCACCCAGGTCAGTGCACTTGTGTCTCTTGTGCAGTTCGGACTTCACCTGAGCCAGGGCTGTTGTGTCTGCTGTAGCAAACACCAAGTCGGCGACGTAGACAAGGATAAAGAAAGGAGTAGAACCCGCTAAAACAAACAGCGACGGGTCGGCGGAGGACGGGCTGAACCTAAGGTCACGAAGCGTGGAGCAAAGAGTGTCGTGCCACTCACGGGGTGACTGTCGGAGACCGTAGACTGGTCGCCTCAGGCTCCACTGGGTCCCAAGTGGGAAGGTGTCAGTGAAGCCAGGAGGACGGCGCAGCCAGATCTCCTCGTGCAGTTGGCCCTGGAGGAACGCAGTGGAGAAGTCGAGGGAGTGCAGCTCATAGTCTCGCTGCGCTGCTATGTGGAGTAACACCCGAAGAGTAGTCATCTTCGGGGTCGGGGCGAAGGTCTGGAAGAAGTCAACTCCCTCACGCTGACTGAAGCCCCTAGCCACGTAGCGCGCCTTGAACACCGGCAGTGCTCCAGGCGGCCGCTTCACCTTGAAGAGCCACATGCCACCAACTACGTTCGCCCTGGGAGGGGGAACTGCGTCGACGTAGGAGCCTGTGGACCTCCAAGATGCCAACTCTGAGTCCATAGCCGCTTTCCACTGAGAGGCCCACGCCCCTGACACTGCCTCACGATAAGTGCGAGCAGTCGGTATGTCAAGGGCGTCGGGGTCTCCCTCAGGGGAGAGCAGCATGGCACACACAGAGGGAGAAGCGGCTGCCCAGTACTCGAGCTCAGACTCTCTATCCTCTAGGGCGTCACAGCCAAGGGCAAACCCACCCCCGACGGACAGAGGACGGTAGGGAGGAGCTGGCACCACACGGGTGGCGTAGTCAAGGCGACCGGCGGCAGCAAACTCAGCGACAGCGGCAGTGAGAGCCGAGGCAGACGACGGAGGGAAACGAGAGTCGGTGACAAGAGTGGCGAGGACACGTGCGGCAACAGGACGAACAGTGCGGTAGTAGTCAGAGATAGGAGTGAGGGGGGCTGTGACAGAGGACGGAGGAGGAGACGGGAGAACGGACACATGAGAAGGAGAATGACGACGAGACGAACAAAGGAGGGCAGTGTGGAGGTCAGTAACAGGGGACGAGTGACGAGCACGCGGAGGACAACGGGTGATCAAGTCGCGACGGACAGTAGGAGGAGGAGACTGAGGAGGAGGAGAAGACCAGACCGCCGGACGGTCGTCAGGAGGAGGCAACGGAGGAACAAACACAGGAGGAGACGGGGAGCGGACAGAAGGAGAGGAGGAAAGGCCAAGGGCCCGCAGGCCACTCACAGGTGGGAACAACTGCCGCTCTAGAGGAAGCTGCGGGGGCGGCTGCGGCTGCCGCTACTGCGGCTGCGGCGACGGCTGCGGTTGCTGCAGCTGCGGCGGCGGCTGCGGCTGCTGCTGCTGCTCCAGAAGGTCCAGCACCCGCAGCTCCTGCCGCTCCCTCTCCAACCGCTCCTGCTCCTCACGCTGACGCTGACGGGCAGCCTGGAGACGCATGTCGTGGCGGTGGGGAGGCGGAGTGGACTCCGCAGAACCAGGGTTTCCAGCTCCAGCCTCCTCAGACTCAGCACCCCCAGGTCCAGCACCGCCAGTGCCAGGACCTCCAACTTCAGCACCCCCAGAACTAGCTCCGCCAGTGCCAGCACCTCCAACTCCAGCACCCCCAGAACTAGCGCCACCTGCGCCAGCACCCCCAGCTCCAGCACCCCCAGAGCTAGCGCCACCTGCGCCAGCACCTCCAGCTCCAGTACCCCGCGAGCGAGCACCCCCAGCGGCTGCACCTCCAGCTCCAACACCAACAGAGTCCACAGTAACGTGTCGCGGAATTGCCGAAGGCTGCTGAGGGGACTGTGAGGAGGACTGCGGAGAGGGAGACACTACCTGACGCACGACCGAGGGGAGAGGGGTAGCGTGGGACACACCAGACAGGGCAGGACCAGGGGGGGGTCGGGGTACCGGAGGAGCGGGAGCAGGAGGAGGAGAAGGTGCGAGGAAAAGAGGGGGAGGGGGTACCGGGAGACCTCGACAGGGGTACCGGGTGTAGTAGGACACAGACTCGTCAAACTGGACGTAGGCCCTACCCCAGCCCTGCCCCAAAGCAAGACCAGGCTAACCTACGAACACGCGAGCACCCAGATCCATCAGCACTAAAGTCAGCATCAACATACAAAGCATGCTGACGCGCATCGTCCATGGACAAAGCAAGTACATAAATCTTACGGGCTAACAGACGAGACCAGCGAGGCGTGACCGCCAGAGGGCCCCAACGAGCCCGGTAGAGGTCGTCGAGGCGGCGGAAGCACCGCGCGGCAGAGTGGTCGTCGTGACCACAGAGACAGGGGCTACCCGGCTCGGTGACGCACCAGTGGGTGCACGGGCCAACGTCACGGCGAGGGGGACGAGGGGCCCAGCTGGAAGTACTGCTGCTGCGGCTGGTGCTCCCAGGGCCTCCCGGACCCCACTGCGGCGGGGGACCCCAGTGCTGCTGCGGACCCCACTGCAACGGGGGCCCCCACTGCTGGAATTGCTGCGGCGCTTGCTGGTGCTGCTGTCCCTGCTGCTGCTGCTGTCCCTGCTGTGGCAGGTGCTGCTGGGGGTGAACGCCCCCACCGGTCGGGCCACCACCTGT